TTTGTGAGAGTGTGCCAGGTTTTTTTTTTTTTTCAGTATGGGGGAGAGCCAATGTTTCCCAGCACAATTAAACAGAGCAGGGGAATGGTAAATCACCCATCTTCAGGTAATTTCCCTAATGAAGTAGATGGTGATTGCTGCTGAAATCCAGAGAGATCTCTTCATTATTGCAGTAGCTGTGAAGCCACAGGAGAGGAGGCAGATACTTTCATTACACCTCACTATATCAAGTATGCATTGTTTTCAAACCCAGAGTCCATCTGAATTGGTCCCAATCAGGGACTATGGGGCTTTTGTCATAGTTACCCAAACCTTTGGCTGTATTTCAAATGAGAACATTTCTAGGGAATCGTAGCTTCTGTCCAATTGCTGCATCATCTAGCCAAAGCAAAACAACAAAAAGCCAAAGCTGTCTGTGATACACTGGTGTAAAAACCACCTTTGGTCTTTGAATGGGTACCTGAGCTGGACTGATGGCCCAGAGCAGACAGAAATTCTCATGGTGAGAGCTTTAATGGTGTTTTGTTCTAATGGACCCTGCGTCCAGGCCTAGAGAATCTATTTCAACTTTGATCCAGAGCTGAAAATACTTATTTATTTATTTCACATTTATCTCATTTATTTCAGGAAATAGACACACACCTAATACAACAACACAGTGTAGTGGGCAATGTACATTCTAAAAATTCTGTTGCATTTTTCTATTTATATAAATGCAACTGTGTCCACTGTGTGAAGCCAGAGACCGTGCAACAAGCTCACAATATGTTCCTGTATATCAAGTGTAGAGCCAATGATGGAAATGTCATGAAAATCAAATGATGATGGCCATCAAGGGGTACTTCCTGTTTTCAGTAGGTGCCACTTCATATTATCACACCAATGTCAATGGGAGACTGTCATCAAACGTGAAATTTGGGGCAGATTGAAGAATGGAGTTGAGTTACAGCGACTTCCTGTTTCATGGCAAACCGCGGCCACCTTTCCTTATCAAGGAAACAAAGTTTGGATCAGTTTGGAGAATGCGTGCTTGAGATAGAGCGAGTTGATCTTTCATGGCGAATGATCGAAATTCGCCGTGCCACCACAGGTAGATCCACTGACAAAAACTCAAAAACTCTGCATTTTAATATTGCACAGCCGAGCCAGCCCTCACTATAAGATTGTAAGATTTGCAGCCCTGTACCTGAGTGGTAGTATGTTTGTTAACCACTGTCACAACCTGACTGAAACAGTTTATTTACACACACAGTTTATTTACAAACACATTAAATAACAACTTCAAGACGTTTATCTATAGGTAAACGCAAACTGGAATTGAGAAAAAATTCCAATGAAAATGTTATAGATGTTATAGATAACATCTATAACATTTTTAACCTCTTCTATAGAAAAATTTGCAAACTAGTTATTTCATTTATAAAAGAAACATCATCAAATTAATTGCATCCAGAAAACTTTGCAAAGTCACTTTTGTAGTACAATCTTTAGAGCAGAGCAACAGTTCTCTAGTTTTATCTCCATGGGTATTTCCCTTGACTTTCTGGGGCACAGTCTTAATTTCAGTTCCAAACTGTTGGGGATCATGAGACTTTTCTTTAATACTATCATCAGCCCTTCTCTCAAATTTTTTTTTTTTACATCCGCTCTGCTGTTCTTAAGTCTGCAAATCTCGAATTCATTGTGCTTTTTGAGGTTTTTCTTAAACCCTTATAGCTGTTAAATTTCCTCTTATCGCATTTGTTCAATTCTGTACACACACAATATCTATCCCACAGACTGGGTCCTGCCTCAGAGGCAGTGGGGAGCCAGGCTCTGTGCAGTGTGAGTGGGAACAGGAGAGGCATCTTGATCGGCTTTATTTCAGCAGAGACAAATCAATTCAACTAGACCATCTTGTGAGGGGATCACACCAACGTAACACCCATCAGCAGTTTGACCTTCTGACCCATGAGCACTCAGTCATCATAACTACATTATCACATGAGTACTCAGTAGTTATTATGACATCATCACATGAGTACTCAATGGTCATTATGACATTATTACATGAGTGCTCAGTGGTCATTATGACATTATTACATGAGTGCTCAGTGGTCATTACAACATTATTACATGAGTACTCAGTAGTTATTACGACATCATCACATGAGTGCTCAGTAGATATTACTACATTATTACATGAGTACTCAGTGGTCATGGGTCGGACCACTCCCATTTGAACTTTGCACCCACCTTTAAACTCGGCCTCATGTTGATCTCAGCTACACACCTGTAACGTTTTGTGACTGTATCTTGCAGGTTTTGATGCTGTTGTTATGGTGACAAAGTCTGTCCACAGACCCACAGATATATAAACATAAAGTACTCAAAACTGCCTGTTTTCTATTGTGCCATACTGACACACACAAGAGAGGAGAACACACACATTTAATCACCTAAAATTTTCCAGTAGGTCCTTGGAAGGAAAAGTAAAATGTACGAGCACAAGTGTAATGAACTATTGGAGTATTCCTTCGAGCTGTAACCTCCCACTTCAGGGAGGAAATTTCTCCCTTGGCAAATGTTCAACATAATTACATTATGTGCAGGAAAAAGCCTCTTAGATAAAAGGCTTGTTATTGCTTACAGTGGGAGCGTTCCAAAAACTCAAGATGCTTTTGTGAATGGGAAAACCAGACAGTGACTGCGTGCTCTTTGGTCAGATGATGAATGACTTCTCAGAAGTCAAACATATGGAGGTGGCCGTGGATCTGCTCAGGATTCATACACACCACTGACAGCTTTGGCACGTCACACATGGCCTGAGACTAACTGGACAGTTCATGCTGTTGGAGGAAGAAATCGATTTCATTGATCCTGAGTGATATCAGTGTTGTACATTTAACAGCATAATCTTGATTTTACAGTACAGTAAATATTACACTTTTTAATTTTTCAATTCAAGGACTAGTTGTACCATTGGAGATGAGAGTGATAGAGAGGAACACAGAGCCAATGCAGTCACTTTGCTTTCATTCTAACAGCATCCGTCTGGTCTTAAAGGAACACATGGAGTAAAAAGCTAAAGATCATTATTAGGTCCTTGACTTTTATCCTCCAAACAGCTTGTTTTTATTCACCCAGTTAATTGCTGAAATCGGGGAACATGGTGACGTCATTACAAAGCTTTCCCATGGAGCGAGGGATTATTAGGGATTATTCCCGGTATGCTCACTTTGGATTTTACTTTAAATAAAGTGGTTTTGTTAATCAGGTTAACTGTTTGTTCATTTACATGTTTCCTGCTCTGTTTTTTGTTATTAAAACAGTGTTTTGTTCCCACATCTCAGTCATTATTTTGAGATTATGATAATAACCGATCGTAACGATGGGCAAAAAAAAGTTTCAGTGAAGTTCTATTTGTAGTATCAGTAATACAAAGAGTTTCTCTTCTCAAAGAGTTTTTCAGGGCAGCATCTATTTTTTTTCAGCAAGTGATGGGCTCCTATATGGAAAAAAATGTGAATTATTGTGGCTGTTTCACATTAGAGATTTCTGTCTGTGCTGGTTTCTGAACTCTTCTCATTGGTTTGAAATAGATGCAGCTCTGTTAGATAAAAGTGATTTCACATACTCTAGTGAACCAATCAGGATTTAGAAATATTTGAATCAGAGTCTCGTAACATTTGGTTTGATAGTGTTTGACAGTTTTGATGCAGAAAACTTGTTTTTCAATAGTAAACTGTTAATAAAAAATATGAATATTTCATGCTTAAGAAAAATATTATTGATGTGAAGTCAGTTTTTCAGGCTTTGATGTAAATTTCTTTGCCACAGCATAACCCTGCTGAAAACTCCCAGTTAATGTCGTGTACTGGATCAGGACAAGGTCAACAGCAAGTTGAGACTTTACCTGCCACCACGCCATCCAAGTAGTGAATGTAGTTTTGACTGGCTGAATTTCTCAGATTTGTCTGAGCTTCCAGTTCTGCTGGAGTGACCTACGTCAGTGGACTAAGGCTGATGTCTGTCTGAAAGGATAAGGTTTTTTTATGCCAGTGACAGTCAGGGTCGGAGGCAGTGTGTTTTCAGGTTGTCCGTCCGTCCCATTCTCGTGGACACAATATCTCAGTAACACCTTGAGGGAATCTCTTCAAATTTGGCACAAACATTGACTTGGACTCAAGGATGAACTTATGACCTCACTAAATATATTTTTGGCCATAACTCACAAATTCACACAGTAATTATGACACAATTCAAATCAAATGTCTATAAAGATGAAATGAAGTGAGGACATTTTCTATCCAAAAGGTCAAAGGTCAACTTCACTGTGACATCATAATGCTCTGTGAAAACACTTCTGGCTATTGCTGTAACTCAGGAAGGAGAGTGTTTGACCGTATTTACTCGGCGGGTTGGTGGAGGGATCCCACAGTGAGGTGGTGATTCTAGTTGTATGTTTTTTTATAGACAGCAAAAGCCATGAAGAGACAAAAACCAACAATGTGTTGGTCCGTCCTGAAATTCTTCCTGACTTCCCTGATGTCTGTGTGGCTCTCAGACCCCAGCCCATTCCTTCATACTGAACCTTTAAAACACATACAGTTTATACCAGTCCTTTTGAGTAATTTCCTAAAATAGCTGGACATTGTAGTTTTTAACAAACACTACTCAAACAGGAGGAGACAGTACATTTGTTAGAACTATTTTCAGCCGTGGATTAATCCACATTTGGTGCTGTAGTGTTCGGGGCAGCAGGACGGTGTGTGTGTGTGTGTGTGTGTGTGTGTGTGTGTGTGTGTCTGCGTGTACGTGTGTGTGTGTAGCTCAGAGGAATACGATACATCAGGTTTTGATACACACACAGAGAACATGTTAAAAACTATGCAATGCCAGTCTATTTTGAACTAAAAGTTATTCAGTGAATCTGAAAGTGGTGATGGGCTGGAAGACCAAGTGCTAAATGCTGCTGCTATTCTTGTCTTTGTGCTCCCACCTCCCCCCACCCCCCACAGCTATACAAGGACACCCTGCAGACTCAGGTACTGGATTCGGCGGGGGAGCAGCTCAGCTCAGCCAAGTTTGGAGCTGAACTGTCAGAGGGGAAACTCAGTGACTTCCAGGAAGAGCAGATCGGCCAACTGTACGAACTCATGTTGGAGTCCACCAAACCCAACAGACAGTTTGACATCCAGGAGGATGGCAAGTGAGGCCGCGGGCCTCCCACATCAAATAACACAAGGTGCTGTTATTCAGGCCGCTGATATTTACCTCTGAGTGCTCCAGATGAAGAGTGCTACTCAAAGCCAGTAGAGGCTTTTAAGAACATTTGACTGTATTAAAGTGCTGTGTAATATCTCTGTGTTCCTGTGCTTGTCTCTCTTACTGTTTTAATAAGAGTTAGCTCGTCATGCTCCTCCGCAGGTGCATTAAGATGGCGCTAATTACTTCTTTTGTCAACTTTTTCTTCATATGAATACACTTGTGAGCTCATGGTTGTGAGGGAGAGGCACTGCATCAGTAATGCCTCTTGCAGCCTCAGGGGTGATGTCGCCATTGTTGGGGTGAAGCCCTAATGTAGAAATATGAACACTTGAATCCACACAAAAGCCACAAGCTATGTGTTGAGGGGGAGAGACGGGGGTGTTAGAGCTGTTATAAAAGTCAACTCATGGTTGTTGATGTGCCATTTCCCTCCCACAGACTTCAAACACCCCATTCATTTCTCCACAATTAAACAGTAATCAGTCATGCAACTTACAAATGTATCAATTGTGACCAAGAGTCCTGCATCTGTTTAAAGTAAAAGGCTGCTTTGAACCCCTGCCTCCTTCTCAGTTTCTGTCCTGTAGATGTTGTTTTTGTTGTCCTTGGGAATACCTAACATCTGCTAGTCTTTATAAGGCCTGACAGCCACAGCAGCCAGTGATGTCTTCTCTCAAAATTCAAATTTCAGTTTTTCTTCTCCACTTTTTACATTGGTTCTGTTTGTTAACAGCTGGATAATGGGATGCTTTTCTTTGCTGCAGTTATGTTTTGTAATTAAAACTGACAAGACACATTCAGTCATCCTTTTCACCTACTAAAGCCTCTTTCAGACGTGCCCCTTGGTCGACTTTACATGTCTGACTCATTGTCTGAATTAGTGCTGAAACAGCGCCACTCACATGACGTCCGACCAGGTGACATCTTTAAAAAGTCTGAGTTGAATGACATCATAGAGAGCGTAACAGTCCGGTGTAGTATCAACTCGGACATTCACACACAAAAAAAAACACAGTGTATAGTCAATAAATCAGCGTATTGGCACCTTCCCTGAAAGAAATAACACGTTATTGACTATGTTGACTGTTGTTGTCAGCAACAGTCCACTGCTGCCTCAGAGTTGAACCATGATAGAGATACAAGCACATAGAATATAAGCGTGTGGGCGGAGCTGCAGGACTAAACAGAGAGGAGAGGGAGACAGACGTGTTAGAGATGACGGCCTCATGGCACCAGAGTTGGCTGTGCAGCCTGCTCCACTGGGCCACAACACAGACACATCTATCTCTCTCTCTCATCTTTTATTTCTTGAGCCATTGAGCCACTGGCCCAATGTGTGGAGCAGCCCACTGGGAAAAGTTGCGGTTCTCCCAATGAGACTTTAGCATTGATGACAGGTACCTGCACTTAAATCTCCTCTGCCAAATTTGTAAACGCTGTTTGTGAATTTGTCTTGGTGTATCAGAATATCATCTGCTGTGCTAGTCATTGTTGCTAATGTCTAATGGGATGTTGACAAAAAAAAGATGTAGAGAAAAACTGGCTTTACAAATGTTTTATGAGAAAAGGGAACAGGAAATAGCAAAGAGAGGCCTGCTATGCTTGTGCACTGTTGGACAAGCAGCAGAACATACTTCCTTTTTATGTGGCTCTCTTCATCACAATCCTGTCATGTCTGACTGAAGCCATAATGAACATTAAGTTACAGACACCTACAGACAGGCCACAAATTACAGGAAAAACCTGAAAAATGTGTGGAGAAACAGGATGACCACGCCTCCATCCACAGAGCAGGAGGGCTCGCTGATGGTTCGATGAGTATGAAAATAATGTGAATCATATGCTGTGGCTGTCACAATCTCCAGATGTCTCATCTGTCCCAGCAAGCACTAGATGGACAGCAGTGAGACACAGGGACACAATGTCAGTCTACCGACACGATTTGCATATCTTTGAGCTTTGGAAGAAATCCTACATCCTTCTACAGACTGAACTGGTTCGAAAGCTGCAGCCTGCATCAATATCCTTCCTTAATTCATCAAAACAAAACAAAAAATGTATAAAAATCTTCGGTTTTAGTGCAGAGATACAAACGGAGCAACTTTTAATTACTATTTGTGATGTACTGTATGTAATGGTATGATATGTAAATCTCACACAGTCCAATCTCTTAATGAAATCAGTCATTAATATGAGCTGTGATAGGCCCGGGCTGTAATTGATTGAGGGATGATAAGCAAGGTGATTCTTTCAGTAATTGTTTAATACGACCTCCATCACTCCCCCCTGGCACTTTGTAATGAGCTGTACCATATGTTTCTAAGTAGCTGCTTATAGAGTGGGGTGGGGGTTGAGGGGTGGGAGTGGGAGTGGGAGTGTGTGCAGGGAGCAGAAGAGGAAAAAGGAGCACACTTGACCTACAGACAATATGAGAGTAACAAATGTATACCACTCTGCTTTAGTTATTATCTATACAGGGGAACATAAATTACAATGCATTCTGGGTAAGATGTGCACCTGCAGCATAAATAGAAATTTCAGTTTTCAGTTTGTTAAATAGTGAAACTCTTGAACGTTGAACGCTCATTGTTGTTCACCTGTTGTCATGGCCCATGAAGAATCAGTCTCATGGAGGTCCACTTGGGTTATGAGTGGCATTTATGTAACAGTGACGGGGAGAAAGACTGTTGGAGGTACTGACAGCCTGGGGACCCGAGGGACTGCAGTCTTCATTACAGCTCTCAATAGAGCTGGAGCCAATAAGGAACATACTGATCGTTTCTTTCTTTCTTTATTTTTTGCCATTAGGACAGTGATGCCATGAATTACTGAAGTTCATGGCGATATGCGCAGTCATTGTAGAGGCCTGTTTATCTGGACCAGTTATAAATGCTGACTGGATTTGGCTGCCTGGGGAAGCCAAGACACACCCCCTCAGAAACACTCACTTACTTATGATTCCTGGTTCTTGCCACCGTTCAAACCGCTTGCTTTTATGTTCAGTCATTCAGTGTGAGAGAGAGAAGAGAGGACATAACTCTTAATCCTTCTTATCATCTTTCCATCCATTCTCACAGCACAAGGTAGCTCCTTTGATTTATGCAGATTGCTGCACAACTCCACTTCTCCCCACTTTGTAGTGGAAGCCAGCACTGGACTGGACTCACTGGCTGACTGGACTGGACTGTTCTGACTTTTATTATCTGAACTGAACTTCATTTTGGGCTAGCTAGCTGAATATATGAACTCAATTTTCTTATTGTTGGAAAACAACAGAATTGGATTAAACTGAATGTACTGAAAGACTGCGTCCTTTATGAGGTTTGCTTAAAAAAAAAAAAAAACTTCTGACAGAGTCTTAAGAGAGAGACCTGGCTGGCAGCCAGCCATCAAACCAAGAACAGAATGGACCTTGTTACATGTATATTTTAGCTATTAGAACATTTACATAATCATCTTATAAAGTTGTAATATTAATTCATTAATTCATTCAATCTTTATTAAGAACACAGCAGGTAGCAACGCCAGTGGTTCCACATTCTAGACGAGAACCTGACAGAGCTCAGTTCAGGTTGGTTGAGGCTGAGATTTACAGATTCAGATAACCTGCACATACATGTATATGTAAGATTTCATATTACAGCAGAGTACGTGAGGACATCAACATTAACAAACATTTAAACCACTGTGAGTCTCTGCCTTTTCTGTAGCAACACCACAGGTTGGCAGTATATAGTGTTATATAGTTAGTTAGTTATAGTGTACACTATAAAGGTCTCTGTCCATGTGTTGTTTGATTATAGATCAGGTCTAGGTTCTATATTAATACTGTGAAAGTATCAAAGCCTCAGTCCACAGAGAAATGCACACAGCCTGTATTCAGAAACTGAGCCTTAAACCCAGCCGTCAGGACTTCTGGGACTTTGTGATGTCACAACAATGCCGTCACCGCTCTCAGCCACGCCCCAAGCCCCGCTCACGTGGACCCACCATTCAGCCTTGCAGGATTTGGTTTCTCTGAGTTTTTACCTGAAATCTGCTATTATTGGATCACTCAGACAGTCAACAACAGTCAACCAATCAGAAGAGAAGAGGCTCTGAGCCTCTCTTCTGATTGGCTCACTGAGCTGTTGTTACTACAGCTCCAGAGAGAAGCCTGAGAGAGGAGATGTAAAACTACACTGAGATAAATATATCTTCTTATGGATCAACACTTAAAACGCAGAAGAAGAAAATATGGAACTTTCAAAAGAAAGATCTAAACAGTCTCTGAACACATACTAAATTTACGAGCCAACATATTGTTTGTGTGTACAGCTTTCGACACTGCCTGTACACACACAGAGCAAGAAACAATGAGCTAAGGCTAAGAATGTACCTTTAAGAGACATCACAACTCTACACGACCTGTCCAGTGGTTTCACCTGTAACCTGCTTAAAAGGTGACAGAAGCCACTGCCCGGGAGTATCTGAGGCTCTGTAGCGGGGACTGATCATTGACCTTCACCACTCCTTCACCACAAACCTGTATGTGCAGTAAGTATGAGAGGAAAACATCAGTCCTGCTTCATTTGCAGTGTTAAGTGAGCTGACTTAATTTGGAGGAAAAATCCCCAATGTATTAACCTGCTAATCAAGTGGAATCAATTTGAAGATGCAGAGGTTTTGTTGATCATGGTGATGAACAGTGATGGTAATGAGGGAGAAGTAGGGCTTCATTTGTACTGGATCTTGCTAGAACAGGATCCAGATTGGCACTGGCAATTGTTTGGGACCAGCACCTCCTTTGTCACTATCAAAACCATTTTGGATGCATTTTAAATCTGATTTACAAAAGAGAGATGTCAGTCACTCAGGTCACTCAGGTGTTTCAGTGCTTTCAAATCTATTAAATATAAAGACTAATTCCTGTAAGATCATAACGGTCTTTGAATAACTTGATATTTACAAAAAGCTTTAATTATTTCTTCAGGGAAATTAGAGGATATTAGTGAATTTTCCAGAGTGGTCAGTAGTAGCAGACTGCTGAACTCTCAAGAAACGATTAAAATATCAGCTTGGAATTCATATTTTAGACAATCCTACTTAGATATGCAAGTTATGGAAATTTAATCAGATTTTATGTAAGGGCTCAAGTGGGATCTCTGCAGTATTCTTCATTGTCATTTATTTATTTAAACCCATTTCTCTCATTTACAATGAGAAATACACAGAGTTAAAAATTCCAAAGACGACAATACTGAACGAAAGCTTTAACACACTCAGTCAAGTGGTTTGAAATCATCATCTTGAGTTGTCCAGTGAGCGTGTCCATCTTGAGAGTGTGTTGTAGATTATTCCATGTGTTTGGCAGATTTTCGAAGTTCAGAGTAAACCTGCAGGACTTAGTAGAGTACAGTTAGTAGAGCAAGTTTGGTCAGGTCCTGTGGCCTAGCCCAGCACAGATGTTATACCTGGTAATGAATGTCCAATAAGAGCTGAAAAGGCACAAGTGTTTATCACGCCTCTGCACCGGAGAGGACCAAACAGCATTGTTATACAGAATGAGTGTGAGG